TTTTTGAGCGCCATCTTTAAATAGGAAAATATTTGTATGAAAAAATACTTCAAATCTCTTGAGCATGCTCAAGATATTCTGAAAACTTTTCCTTTCACAGTCAGCAAATAGCCGTAAAATTAACGTGACGTAACCTACCCCTTTAATCTATCTTTTCTCATGATTTCATCGCGTTACTTTTACGGCTATTTATTGAAGAGATAAGGATAGCTTTCGGAGTGTGTTTTTTAGTATACATTCAAGCGATTTCTTTCGTTCAAGTACTTTTTTATTCGAAAAGAATTTTCAGCATGTCGTATCTCACCTTTGACATTACGATCCAACATAGCTACGGTGAGTGTACAGGAGTTTTAAAGTGTATAGGGATTAAAAAAGCAAATAAATAATTAGTCTCTTTTGTATTGTGCCCGTAAAGTATTAAATCTCTCTTGATTTATTATTATATTTTTTTAACTCGTAGCAAGTACAAGTTAGATATGTTTTGTATTCTATTTTCTATAATTCTTCAATGAGAATAGCAATAAAGAGAAAAAACGTAGATACGCTTATTAAAAGAAGAAAACTGAAAGAGATCGCGCAGTTATTTTATTTTTTCAGTCATCACAGAAGAGGTTAAAAAATAAGTCCCCATAAATATACCTTAATTTATATATACGAAATAGAATATCTGTCTGTTTGTATGTTCCTTATAAACCTCTAAATCCTTTGACGGATCTGCAGCAAATTTTGCGTGGTTACTCCCTAGGAAAATGTATGCTACCATGAAAGCCGGACATCCCACTCCTCCCTCTGATTTCGCCCCTTTTGACAGTCCGTAATAGCCCAAACTACAGCGGGTAGTTTAAGCTAGTATTTGATAAAATCCATGCGCTCGGATGGCCGACTACTGGACGTCTCCCCGGTGTATACAATTCGTTTGCGCTCAGAGTTCAATTATTCAGCGATGTCCCGGCGCTAATATCTACAATAAAAGGAACGCGCGTATGCAGAGGCAAAAAAGCGGCGTAAAAAAGTCGCGTAAACAGGAATGTGGAGGTGGCAAGACAGATGGCAATCGTCGAACGAGAGTGCGCGCGCGCGATACGCGCTAACCAGATTACCGGCTCCAAAGTATAATCTTCTTTACGGCTCGAGGAGCTTAACGATCCGCTGTGTACTCAATAATGGCGATACCGATGCCATTAAAAGACGCTTGTTCACTGGCCCGGCGGCCGCTGGATTTGCATAAAACGATTGGAAACCTCCGGCGGGGAAGGGAGGGGAGCATTTACTCGCTCGTTACTCAGAACGAGTTGCCGTGTGAGATGTCAGACCTCTTCTGTCAGTTCAACACGTCTGACGCGCGACGGAGACGAGGGGAGTCCACAAAAGAACCGTAACAAGTGGCGGATATGAGCAAAAATTGACTGTAATCTCGCGGAATACAGTCCGCCTCTTGTGTGTGTGTGCGCGCGCGCGCGCGCGTGTGTGATGTGTGTGTCCTGCGGAGGCGGCTACCAATTACTTCTAGTTTACGCTCGATTTCTCGCGGAATAAAGGCGCGCCGGCGAGGTTGCGCCGGCAGTTCGCGTGTATTACGCGATATTGTAAACACGCTGATACTTGAACGGGAGTTAACGTCGCGGACACGTAGCGCGGCGCGAGCAATAAATTACAACGTAGATTAGAATGGTTAATGCCGGCCCCGTTCGAGCGCGACGTTACCTAGTAAATCTCGCGATCGCGCGCCCGTTGCACGCCGCGGCAAGGGGTCGCTGTGAATACGACCGAGGGGCGCGCAGATATATTAGACAGGCTCACGTCTCTGATATTATTAAAAACGCATCGGGGCTAAGTGGAAAGAGCGCGGCGGATCTTCTCTAGACGCCGCTAGCAAAGTTGCTATGGAAGCGGACCGGAGGTTGGAACGAGCGGCGCATAGAAAATATCTTACGTCGGAGATAACGGATTTACCGCTCGTGCGAAAGCGCGAATAAGAACACCGAAACGGAACCTTGGGGGTTTTCCATTCCTTTTTTTTCTCTCTTTCCCCCTCATCCTCTTCCTCGGCGGCCAGGGACAGAGGAAAGGTCCAAGGACGCGTGAAAAATTATACACATCCGAAAGGGGGGGATCCGCGGAATTCTCCCGGCGCGAGCGATTTTTCTCACCGCGTCGCTCTCTCCACACTCCCTCCGCCCCCGACACGTCGCCCTCTCTTGCGCGCGCGAATATATATCTTCCATCTCTGAGTAGCGTCTCGAAGTTTCGGCGGCGATGAATGAGCCGCCCGAGACTGGAGATTCGCTCTCGAAATTGCTGTCCCTCTCGCGCGAAATCTTAACCCGGGCCTGCCGACAGTCAATTACCGGCGGGCGCTGAAATCAGGGTGAATGCCGGCGGTGGCGGGGTCGGTCGGCGATGCCGTGTGACCTCCCGCGCGCGCGAAGGACGATGGATGCTTTCCTCGACGGTGGTGGCGGTTTACCAGTTGAAGGCGCCAGGACCAGGGCCGGAATTTTCGAACAAAAGAGCGGAGGCCCTGATTTAGTGGCGTGCATAATTTCGTCCCGGTCATAAATTAATATTTCCACCCCTTTGTCCATTCGTCGAGTCGTGGCCGCGGAAGAAAAGGATCTTGATGAATGAAAATCCCTTTGCGGTGGCGCTGTACACTCGCGAGTCGAAATTTGGATCCCGCTCTTGCTACCTAAACGTTCCACTTAACGCCTACTTTGATACTCTGAAACCTACATATCGACTTTGTTTGATTCTATTTAACCAACCAGCTTTCCCGACAGATTTCCTCTTTAGAAGTAGCATTTGTGCGTTTCCTATGCCATTTGAGAGCGTTAAGTAGGATTTTAGTTTGTATCAAACGCACGCTGAGAAAGAAATTTGCTGAGAAGTAAATTTTTTTAAATTTTGGCAAACCGTTCCTCTACATACAACTGTGTGCACGCATTTTTTAAAAATAAGTAAATAATTTACTTATTTAAAAAATATTTTTTGCTATTCAATAAATTGACTATTAAATATAAAAGAATTACATATATTTCTAAGGAGTTTTCACTTATATTTTGTAATGGAGCGCACATGAGCAAAATTTAAATTTTATTAATAATATTCGAAAAGAGAGAGAGAGAGAGAGAGAGAGAGAGAGAGAGAGAGAGAGAGAGAGAGAGAGAGAGAGAGAGAGAGAGAGAG